TTCTTTCTTCTAGATCATGTGACCTCTCCTTTCTGGGCCTCAGTTTCCTATTCTGTTATGTGAAACGGTTGGATAAGATGACTTCTAAGGCCTGTAAATTCGTGATCTTAGAATCCATTTCGGGGCTGCTCACCAATGACTTTTCCCCCTTCCTCCCTCAATCAACCCTACAGATTCGGCCTCAATAGACCTCATTAGAAACTGCCCACAAGATGAAAGAAGGAAGCCAATTTGGCTGATCCTGTCCTTGGGATGAGGCCATCAGGCAGCCGAGGGCATTTTTGAGTAAGGAGAATGAGCCAGAGGGAATGAAGAGAGAGAGCTTTTAAAATAAGCTTGTTTGGGGCATGCCATTCTCATTGTCTGGACTCCCATTGGCAAGCTTTTAGCCGGCCCTTCAAAGTGCTGACATTCGGGGCCCTATGTCCCTTGGAAACAAGGAGGAAATGGTTCACTTCTGAGGGCGGAATCAACTTCTTTGGGCCTCTCAGGTCCATTTAGCAAATTGTCTCCGCCATCCCACTCCATTAGGTGAAAATTGCTTTAGAAAGGATGCTTTTGTGGATTAGTTTTCTCCTATTTCTTCAAAATGGATGGCATTTATTAAAAATGGAGAGGAGGGAATACAGTCGTTTTCTGGTTCAGGTCTCCCTCCAGAAGCTACAGAAGAGCTAACATCTTCCTCCGGTTTCCCCTCTATTGGTTACGTGGCCAACCCTCTCCAGGAAGCAGAGTGCATCCTCCCTAATCCTGTGGGCTGTCAACAGCACCACTTCCAAGGGGACAGAGTTACGCTTTTCCATGGAAATCCTGGGGCAGGAAAGAGCTGATCAATAGGCAAGATAAAAGAAATGGGCCCACAGGAGCCCTAGGGGGCAGATGCCCAGGACTCTTAGGAGGATGTTTCAAGCCAAACAAACTTGTGGATGGGGGAGAATGGAAGAAAAAAATAGAAATAAAAAAAATTTTAAAGCCTTTTTATTGACAAGCTCTCACTTGGGTAATAGGATACCAGGTCTACAATCAGGAGCCTGGGGATTTAGGAATTGGCCTCCAACATTTATTTGGAGATGATTCTACACACAGGAGACCTGAAGGTGGCATACTGAAAATAGAGCTAGATTTGGACCCTCAAGACCTGGGTTCCCATCTTTAGTTCCATTTCTCACTAGCTGTGTGACCTTGGGTGGATTGCTTGCCCTCTGGGTCTGGGTTTTCTGCTTTGTAGTGGAGGCATCAGAAAGAACAATTTGGTACATTAGAAAGAGCTGTGGAGTCAGAGGAGCTGGGTTCAAATCCTGCTTCTCACCTTTATTCCCTATGTGATCTCAGTCAAGTCCCTCCACTCCCCTGAACCTCAATTTCCTTTCCTATACAAGCGTCTTCATGGCATTGACCACCATGCAAAAACCAATGGCATTACCAGAAAAGCAGAGTAGTTATACAACAAGCAATTGTCAACTAGGGAATGAGGTAGTAACCTGAAGCCAAGCTTAGACGTCTGGACAAAAAATCCTCCCTCTCACCTGTCTTCCCTTCTGCAGGCTTACCTTAAACCCAGTGGGGTACAAGAAGCCAATTCTTTGCAGTTTGTGGAAGGAAGCTCATTTCCAGGGGACCTTCTAGGTCAATGAAACTACTACATCCTTTAAAAGGGCCTCACTTCCCTCCTGACTTCGCTACCATTCCTAGAGTTAGTGCTAGGACAGAAATGTATGGTGACCATTATGTGGCATACTAGTGAGAGTATGGGACTCAGAGTCAGAAAGACCCGAGTTCAAAATCTTCCTTGGGCCCTTACTAGCTTTGTGACCCTGAGCAAGTCTCTTAACTTCCGTTTCCTCACGTGCAAAATGGTATCAGCCTAAGGCTGTATCATCAAAGACTCAAGCACTTGGCAAACCTTTAAGTGTGATAGAAATGTTAGTGATGGTATCACCTGCTGAAGCCACAGGCCGGCGTCATTCCTTACCTGAAAGTGAAGAGAGTCCCCATATCCAACATCGATAGGAGCTCTGCTTTGGACTTGGGGAAGGAAAGGCGGTACCGAAGAGTTTCAAAAGCTGGAACAATTAGCGCCTTCTTGGTATTGGCCAGGTCTAGCTGGATGACTGACTTCCTGGTATGAAAGCGAACAGAGAACCAAAGAGGGTCACTTAACTCTGCATCTTTGTAGGACCTCAGGAGCCTAGGTTTGGAGTAAGAAGAGACCTAAGAGGTAGGTTTTCTTTTCCAAACCATACTCTAGGCATCAATTGCCTTCAGTATATTCATCCAAATTCCAACAAATGACCCTTGAGTCATAGAGAATTCACTGCCTGTGAGACCATTCCTCTGTCCAACAGTTCTGATATTTTTTAAAATAATGGGTGAATATCTTCCCTTTTCTTGTAAGTCCCACTTATTTGTCCCTAATTCTGTCTTCTGAGGCCAAGTAGGATAAGTCTAATCCTTTTTCTATATGATCACCTTTCAGATAATTTAAGACTGTTATCATGTGCCTACTAAGCCCCCTCTTCTCCACATTTCCTTCAACTGGTTGCCCTCAACTTTGTTTCTTTTCTAAAATTTAATAATATTTTCTTTTTTCCAATTACATGTCAAGACAATTTTCAACATTCATTTTTTGAAAGATTTTGAGTTCCAAATTTTTCTCCCTCCCTCCTTACCTTCCCCTCTCCCCAAGATGGCAAGCAATCTGATATAGGCTATACATGTACAATCACATAAAACATATTTCCACATTAGTCATGTTGTGAAAGAAGAAACAAAATGAAAAAAAAAAACCCAAAAAAACCATGGGAAAAAAAAAACAAAAAAATGAAACTAGTATGCTTTGATGTGCATTCAGACTCCACAGTTCTTTCTCTGGATGTGGACAGCGTTTTCCATCAAGAGTCTTTTGGAGTTGTCTCAGATCATTGTATTGCTGAGGAGAGCTAAGTCCATCACAGTGAATCATCACACAGTGTGACTGTTATTTCAAGTCTGGTTTGGAGTCACTTCACAGTGCAGGTCATGGTTCTGTGGCTATCCTCAATTTCAGGGCTTCTTTACCTTTTTATGTATCATAGACCCCTTTGGCACTTTCATGAAGTCTCTGGGTGCTTTCTCAGAATCATGTTTTTAAATAATTGAAGGAAAATCTAAAATTCACTTAGACCTTAGTGAAAATAAAGACATAATTACTTTTTTTCCATTCAGGTTCACAGATGCCCTAAAATCTATGGATCTCAAGTTAAGAATCTCTGCACTAGTATTTTTTTCCCAAAAAAGTATGAGCTTCTGGAAAGCAGAGACTTAAAAAAAAAACAACTTTGTATCCCTAACATTCACCACAGTTCACTGCCTGTAGCAGGAGCTTGATAAACATTTGTTGGATTGGACTACATGCATTTGCCATGTCTGTCTTGTAACCAATATGGTGCCCTCAAAGGGGTCTGACCAGAACAGAGTACAGAGAGCTTGGCGAGTACAGTAAGACTATCGTCACTGTAGACAGACACATGCACCAGGCATCATGAAAGAAACTGGGGTGGGAGCAGGGAGCTGGGAGGGGGGCAGAAAGGCTAACCTTTATCAGTTAGCCTGTTCTTCATGGAACTGCAGCAATCAATCACACAGTGGCAAACATCCATCTTCCCTCTGGCCCCGGTCAGCACAAAATGGCGAGCAGAGAAGGCCACAAGGTTGAAGGTGGAGGGAGAAGGGAAGGCAAAGAGCACTCTCCCGTGGACTCCCATGGACTCCCATGGAGGTCGAAAGCCTGCTTTTCAGGAAGGCTGGCAAACTGGCGATATGTAGACATATAAGTATATATAAAATAATGACACAAAGCCCCAATTCAGTAATTAAAGCTAGAGAGAAGAGTAAATCAAGGAAGACACTGTTTGGTATAAAAATAAAAATTGTAGATCTACAAATGTCACAAAATCTGGCCTACAAGGAGAAAATAACTTTACTACACCTGCAAGCTCAAACAAACCAACAAAAGGTGGGGGGGCAGCTAGGTGGCTCAGCGGATGGAGCACCGGCCCTGGATTCAGGAGGACCTGAGCTCAAATCCGGCCTCAGACACTTAACACTTACTAGCTGTGTGACCCTGGCCAAGTTACTTAACCCCGCTGCCTAGCAAACAAAACAAAATAAAACAAACAAACAAAAATAAACCAACAAAAATTCAAAGAAAAAATGGATTTTCCAAAAAGGCTACATGAATACCTAGAAGAAATGAAGAAAGATATATGTGTATATATACATACATACATACATACAAACATGCACATGTACTTGTATGTGTGTGTATGTGTATATTATATATGTGTGTATGTATGTATCTGTGGCTTCTTTCCACCATCCCTCTTTCAAGATTTTTGTTGTTCAGTCATTTCAGTCATGCCCAACTCTTTGTAACCCCATTTTGGGGTTTTCTTGGCAAAGATACCAGAGTAGTTTGCCATTTCCTTCTCCAGTTCATTTTCCAGATGAGGAAACTGAGGCGAACAGGGTTAAGTGACTTGCCCAAGGTCACACAACAAGTGTCTGAGGCCAGATTTGAACTCACGAAGATGAGTCTTTCTGATTCTAAGTCCAGTCCACTGCACCACCTAGCTGCCTTCTTTCAAGATTAGGTAGATGAAAACTGGGATCCTTTGAAGTGACCCGAGTAATGGTGTTCTCCTCTACCTACTTCCTTCTGGAATCATCATTAGCTCTATCAGTGTTGAGGCAGCTCATGGCCATTGGAGAGTATCATGCTGAGAATGGTCTTTTCCGAGAAATTGCTTAAGGTGACTTTCCTTATCTGATAGTCGTTTTTGTGAATGACGCTTCCTGTGGTGATGAAGCAATCTACTTTAGACAGGTTCTTCATTCCTCCTCACCCTCCTTGCTCATTTGTCCTCCTCTGAGGTTCCGAGTATCCTCCTTCTGAAAGGTTCTGTTTCACGACAGGCCAAAGGGGCATCCCATCAGATGGGATGATTGTTTCCATTTGATCCAACACTAGACCATGTGAAAAATCCAACAGAGACCTGGGTGTAACTGGGAGGATGGTGTTGACAAGGCAGGCTGCCCTGAAAGAATTCTCTGATCTTTCCTCTTTCTGTGACTTGTGGCTGAAAACCAGTTCCTGTGACCAAAGGATAGTCCAAGTTCTCTTCCCAACTCCTCATTAAGTTTGGGAAATGATTCCTTCAGAAGGGGCGATTCTATTGTACCACCAAAGTTCAGTGAGTCAGGTCAGTCAATAAGCATGAATTAAATGCCTACTATGTTACTCAGATTGGGGTCTCAAAAATGGGGGACTTCGCATCACTTCTGGGACAACCCCAGAAGTCTGGGGTTGAAAGACCATGTTCAAGTCATGGAGCTAATGGTTCTCATTCTTTCATTCTTCCCTTCTTCCTCTCCACCACCTGGCTCCCCTGACTTGGAGCCCCAGCTAAAATACTCCCTACTCAGGAAGACTTTTCCAATTCTCCTTCATTCTCGTGCCTTCCCTCTGTTAATGACTTCCCATTTTTCCTGTTCATATTTCATTTGCAAACAGTTGTTTGTACACTTTCTCCCCCAATAGAATGTAAGCTCTTTGAGAATAGAACAGGGACTGTGTTTTTGCCTTTTTCTGTATCTCTAGTACTTAGCATAGTGTCTGGCCCATGGGAGGCACCTGATAAATTTTATCGACTGATGGTCTGATAGAGATAGGTTGAAAAATCAATAGAAAACATTAATGAAGCACTCTGGGTCAGGAATTCACTGTGCGATGCCCCAGGGATACAGATACTAGCTAGCAAGCAAGTCTGCTCTGCCTCCAAGGATAATACATTCTAATTGGGGGGGGGGGGAAACGGTAACACATAAAGGAGAGCTACACAGGGTGGGGATTTTAAGCATAATGGCATGGCTACAGATGACCAGGAGTTTTCCAGCACTCTGGGATGGATTCTTTAATAAAAGTAATAATAGCAATAATAACTAACATTTGTGTAGTGCCTAATATATGCCAGGCAGTGTTATTCTGCTCAACGTAGACAGCCTGGTCCCCCCTCTTCCAAAAGTCAGTAAGTAGAATGGAAGCTCCTAGAGGGAGCCTCACTTTGTATTTTTGTCTTTGTAAATTGCCTGCCTTCAAACGTGATATTCTTGCAGCTTTGCCAGATCTGGTGATCCATTCAAACTTGGAAATTATTGGTTCAGGTGTGCCCGAAGATAGAGGTTCAAGGGCTTTGTGGAGGGGCTTAGTGCCTAATATGAACTTCTCTGATTTCGCCAACATCTTGGAGTGTTGGGTGAGATCGCAGCTGGATTCCCATCCAGACTCACTTTATTATTTTACCTAAATGGGGTTTGTTGGGATGCATTTCCAGAGATGTCCTTTTCCTAGGATCACTACTTATTCACTATTTACTAAGCCATGGAGTGTTGGTTATGAAACATTTCCTGAAGGATCCCAGAAACTGACGACTCCGGAATCTTGCCATCGTATATGGAAATGGGTATGATGGAAAGCAATATGTGTTGGGAGAGAGAAGCTTTTTACTGAGTTGAACCCAACTCTCACAATTTCCAAAGAGAGTAGAATCTGCTTTAGAGGGCATAAGGTATCCTTCAATACCTAAAACAGAAACTGCCCCCAACATGCTACAACATGGTGTAATAGATTGAATGCTGGATTTGAAGTAAGGAATAGAGAGGCTTAAATTTTGTCTCTGACATTTATTATCTGTGTGACCTTGGGCAAGTAATTTGAGGTCTTTAGACAATTTGCTGTGGCCTATTTACTAAGTTATGGATGGGCCACGATCCATGTCATTCATCTATGGATAAAATCACAGACCCCGGATCTATTGATGTGATGGTACCTAATATGCCACATTCTAGCTGTGAGGCCTAGGGAAAGTCAATTAACCTCTGTGGGCCTATTTTCTCATTTGCAAAATCAGGAGGTTGAAGCAGATTGTCTCTAAGGTTCCTTCTCGATCTTAGCTCTAGACTTATATATCCCAATGATCTGACACTTCTTGGCTGTGACTCTAGGCAGGTTGCTTCAACTCTCTGGGACTGTTGCCTCATCTAAAAAATAAGAAAATTAGTGACTCCATTTTCCCTAAATTC